ACGTTATCAGGCTTCTGCAGAGCTTGATGATGAGCTGATCATTTGAATCCGGTGTGTTGGAAGAAGGAAACATCTAAAACATGCAGGATTGCGGCCCTCGAGGACCAGGATTCGACACCCCTGCTCTAAGTATAAGTAATTTTAACTATTTCAGTTTTTAATTTGTTTCCATTCTTGTCCCCTACCTGCTTTGTGAAAACACTGCCTGCAGTTCAGCCAAATATGTTGAGAATTTTTCTAAAGTGATACAGCTGAGTCGGTCATTAGTTCTCGGTTGGACACAGGATTTTTTGTCCTTTTTTTATTTTATTTTTTAAATTTTTTTATACAGTATGTGGTAAGCATGAACACTTAATTTTTGGCGTTTTTTTTTTTTAAAACAAGACATCCTGAATTTAATCTTAAATTAGGGTAAGTTTCCCAAGAGAATGATGATTAGTTCAATGACCATCTGACATTTAACCTCTTCAGACCCAAGCTCTTGTCTGATATACATTTTTTATTTTTCCTAATAGCAAAGAGAATAAAAAATAAAAAATATAAAGAAAATAAATATACATTTTAAAATGATTTTAAAAATATTTTTAAAAAACAAAAAGCAAAAAATAACAACAATAAAACTATAATAATAAAATAACAAAAAAAAAAAAAAAACTACTGTGGTCATATAACCCAAAATGTGGATGCCAGGTCTTACGACGTTAAAGTTCTGTTGATTCTTTCTAGTGTCTACCTTTGATAAATAGTGTAATTTTAACGGTTTTGCAAAGAGAACGTGCCTGTCAAACCTGCTATCAGGTTTTTATGTTCCATCAATATTAAATGAATGAATTGCTAGTTTCAGCTCTATGGTCAAGATCAAAAATCAATCAATCTCTATTAATACTGCAACAATCAACCATATAAACCTGACCTATTAAAGCATTAGAGCCCTGAAGCAGATGAAAAGTGAAAGTTCGATCTCTAACACGGCAAAATAATATGGATTACAAAATCAACAATAACTTCTGACTGGCTTTACAGCTCCGTTACCTGCCAGCTGAGAACACATGTACATTTATTAAAGCAGCGTAGTCACATGACAGGATGAGTGTGTGACATTAGCAGATGCAGCACATGCGAACACACACATACACCAACACACACACACTAACACACACAGCAGGTGGCCGACTGTGACATAGCACACGGTCATGGTGTATTTTCGGATGTGACAGTGATGGAGTGTTCACGAGGCCCGGGCCCTGGATCACACAGAGACTCTGATTCACTGATGTATGACAGACACACGTGTGCACACAAAGCTTTGTTGTGCCACAGGTGACTTTGAAACGATGAAAGCTACAGCCACAGCGGACGGTTGACAGTGCAGTTTCCTGGAAACTCCAAATGTCAGAAACAAACAGCTCACAAGTGTAACGCTGTGCTGTTAAAGAGGAAGTGGAGAGTTCAGAGCCCAGTAGGGTGTTGAAAGAAGAAGTTGAGGGTTTCCGGTGACTTCACTCGTCTAATCTCCCACTACACGTGTCCTATTTTGTTCCCCAACTCGACTTTGACAAAAAGCAGTGAGTCGGTTTGTTTCATTTATAGCTTTATGACTTGAGTCGCAGCGCACAGATTGTGAACTGGTTTCCTTAATTTCCTGCAGTGAACCTGAATTGGCCACAATAAAAAAGAAACTGGGTGGATTAAACACACACAAAACTGGAGGAGGGAGACAGACAGTCAGAGGATTAGACGAAGGAGACAGTTAATCTTCTGTGAGAAGACATTTAAACCAATCAACCACATCCTGACACTGAAACCAACCAGATCTGTGTCAGGAGAAGCTTAGCTCGCCGTGAGCGCACTTTACCTGATAATTCCCACTGAGTTTAACAGCACATTAGCTCTCACCCGAACCTCATTAAACACACACTTCAGCTGCCTGTTTACTCCCTATTAAATATTAGTGGATGTCTGAGCGCTGGTCTGTATATCTTCATAAAGAGGTGGTTTATCTTTACAGCTTCTACCAATAAAGCGCGCATCATAAAGGGTGCGGCAGAGTCGTCTGGAAAGTGGTATTCAGTGATGTGCATTTCGCTCGAACGTCCTCAGAGGTTGTTGACATGTTTCAGTGGAAGTGGACAGACGTTGCCTGCTAGAACCATATATAATCATTAACAAACTAAACTAACCCAACATACTCAAAAGGCTACAGACCCCCAAACACCTGCGACATATTTTTTTATAAATAGACTTTCGATAACTTCAGAACACTGTTTATGTCCACTCATCACAAAAAAATGTGAGTAAAATCCCCTGTGAGTGTCCAAACAAGGCAATAAAAGTGAAAAGCTCCTGTGTGCTGTGTAAGTTCAAGATGGCGGCAGGAATAATTGAAGACAACCTTCAGCTCTTTTGAATACTACAACGATCCTCAACCACCAAATCTCTTGATGCATTCATTCAAGACCACCTCTAAGCCCAAACCTCTGAGACTGATTAACTTGTGCCAGCTGCTTGGAGGGAACCTGCACGAGATCTTAAAGTAGTTTTCCATGCAGTGTCTAACCAATTTCTTTGGCATTTTGGTCTGTGTGGGTCCCAGAGGACACCCAGTGGGCTGACCACCACAGCGGTGAACACTCAAACACATTAATAAGAAGGGTTTGACTACGAATGGAAGCCTCCATATAAACCTGCAGCTGAGCTGGAAGCCACTTTGTGCATTAAAGTGAAACAATCACAATGCAGATTTGTGCTTCTAATGGTATTAGCATTTAACGGCATCGCTCAAGAGGCCTTCCAAACAGCGCAGGCCTCTCTGTCCCCGAGTTAGACAAACCCAAGTTTAAAGAATCCTAATGAGTGTAACTGAATTACATTAAAAGGATGGCTCCCCTCCAGCTCTGCTGCAAAGTAGATTAAACCTGTATTCATCCATTCCGTTTAGCTCAGAGCAACACTTAATTAAAAAGCCAGTGAGCTGGTCAACTCCTTTCACCCCCCACCCCACCTCCACCCCCTCCACATCAAACACTCTCGGTTATTTCCCTTCGGTTTCTGTTTGCCTTGCGATAAATTAAACACAGGGAAAGTCATAAATTAGCTCAAATGGCACATCACGTACACTCAGAAATCTGTCACCTGGTTCAGTACAGTCCAGTTCAAAAGCAAACCACCACCGAACATATCAGAAGGCCTCAAGAACTACGCTGAACAAACACAGCATGACGATGATGTTTTTCTGTAGTTTTGAATGGAAAAGGGCTGAATTTAGCCAAATGAGCACAAAAAGCATTTGATCCGTTCAACTGGTGGCAAATTTTCGACCACTGAGTTAATCTACAGCTCAGTCAGGTGTCGCTTTAAAGAACAAAGATCAGATAGTGTGACCAGACACTCCGTTAATCAGTGACAATAAAAGACCTCTTTAAAATGCAGCTTTATTCAAATGACGGGATGTCACAGATGATTAGAAAAACATGAGAACAAGCTGTCGGCCGCTCGATGTTGACATGTCCGTAGTAAGACCCTTCGTCCACAGTCCCAACATTTCTCATCTACTTTCTTGTTTGCCGAGTACAACAATCTACCACGCGATGCTCTGGACGTGTTCGACAATGTGATCGTTTCCCCCAAAATGTCCCCCAAACCACAAAAAAGCCCTTCAGGAAGAGTGAAACAACATCCCACAAGCAGCATAAACAACCTCATTACCGCCAAGCGCTGCAGATGTGACTTGTTTCTGACCTCACTCTCCATCTGCATACTATCATTTCCAATGCAGTCAGACTTGGTTGTTGCATGACGTCCACTCTCTTGTTAAGACGTAGAATGGAATTTAATGACATATTACATGCTGTACTAACATTTTTCTTGCGTGTACAGTGGAGACTGTCTAGTGTCTACTCAAAATGTTTTTAGCAGGTTCCTCTGAGAGCAGAGGTGAGTCAGACGCTGACTGTGGTCAGTCTGTGGTGTTTTATCCGACTGGAAGACTGTAAAGCACCACTGTTGTGAATTCAGATGGCATTATAAAATGTTTCAGTAGAAGACAAATGAACTTCACTTTAAGGTCCTTGAAGATGTTTGAGCTCTCATCCATGAGGCTGAGGTGGAAACTCTGAGAGTCTGCGAGACAACACACAAAAAAACTATAATAGAATACCATGGCAGCGTTGTACCGTGTAAACAGCTCACCGTTTCATTTCTGACAAGTCAAAAAAAAAAACAAATAATCTAGAATTCAATTCTTCAAGCAGCCCTGAGGTTTTTATTTCCAGCAACATACTTTTTTTTTTGTATTGTTTTCCTTGCAGGCGTGTCCAAGCAGTAATTGTTTCCCTGCTCTCTCTCACTCTGACATGATGCTATCAAGCATCTTGTCCCTTTTGGCCTTTCATCTTTTGTTTGAGGCTCCCCATTCACTGTTATCTCAGTTTCATGCTTTTGTCCCTCCTTGTATCCCCCGGCCCTGGTTTCTACAGCTTTCTTCTTGTGACACTGCTGCTGCCTGCTTTGGCAGCTCAGATCCAGATGGATTACTGTAAGCCAGTTAATCTCTCTGAGTCCGTGGCCCAGTGGTGACAGGTGTCGACCCGTGCATGTGTACGAGGGAGCGCCCGAGTTTCCAGTGCTCCCAGAATAAGGTGTCGCCGTCAACATCCGTGTGTCTCCGTGAATGTAACATGTCGAAGCATATGGCCGGATGACCACATACCCCTTAAACTTGCATCTGATCCTGCGCCGGGGTGAACTCGCAGGAAACTCAGCACCGCCAGCTTGCCATCAACATGCACAGCAACATGCAAGACCCAGTGTGAGTGACGGTTCCACGCAAAAGCACAGTCCGAATCAGCTCGCCATGACTGGGAGAATCAGTCATCGTCACACTGATGGGTTTAGTTCACCACCTTTGAGCACTCTTGTGTTCGACCTGATACCTGTGACCCAAATCTGACCTCAATAAAGGTCAAAGTTCTTTTGCTTCTTGGCTACAGAGGAAGTCAAGTTTCCATCTCACAGCCTACACACCAAATATGTTTCCATATCAAGAAGATCATAAAGATATCCGGATGACACCAGACAGCTATTAAAAGACTCATTTGTAACTTGTAAATGCTGAAATCCAACAGGTGACAAGACAACAGCTCAGTTATTATGTGAAAGATTAATCTGTAAGAGGAATACTTAATTAAACATAATTCTGTCATTACACAGAGTGAGTGTGAGCAGATCTGTGGGTTTATGTTGTATGATCCACTTGATGACACAAGTGTCAGGTGGCTTTATTACCTTCAGTGCGCACTTCTGTCCAGTCTTCTTATTGTAGCACTCCAGCACTTTGCCATTGATCCCCAAACCCAGAACCTGAGAAGAGATCTTATAATCGTCCGTCACTGCGTTGCGTTTTATATCCAGTTTGGGATAAGTGGGCATGGAGAAGTGTGTCGGCTCCGCGTCCTTCTTGTCAGCGGCTGGAGGCGCGCACTGCTGCGGCTGTGCGGGGTTGACAGCCGTCGGCGAGTCCGTCTCTTCCTCCTCAGCCTTTGGCGCTTTCTCCTTTCCGTTTCCATTTTGTAGCATGATCACACCGACTTGTTGTCAGCAGCTCAGGAGGGGAAAGCGTGAGTAAGTCACCGAAATTAACCGCGATGACTCCTGCTGCCCTCCGGTCACTGCGTAAAGCGGAGAGGTTGGAGACCACCCCGCCTGTCCTGGACACCACACCTTCTGTCAGGACTCAAATGACAAGAGTACTTAAACTAAACAATCTACTTAAAATATTGCTTCTTTTTCAAAAAATTCTCTGTCAACTTTTCTGGCCAGGACTTCAGAAAAAAGAAATCCAAATAATTTAGCGTGTAAAAATAAAAACATAAAAACATAAAATAAAATCCAGTCAGACGTCTCTCAGCCGGTTCTCTGTTGACTCCGGTGATCTCTGTGAGTCCTTTAGTTGCGTTCACATGTCCAGTCTCTGTCGGTGTTTGTTTAAGCACCACCCTCCTTCAGTCAAGTCACACGGAGCCGGTCCTTAAAGGAGCAGGGCGGAGATTCAAGCTCCTGTGGAGGGCAAGTGGAGCCCAGACAGCCGAGGCAAATGCTCATAATCGTATTATTTTCTGTGCAGAAAATAAGTAAAGCTCTTGAGAGGTTACAGGGTAGGCCAGGGTAAGAAGTCCACCTCCCATAATACCCCTCCTGACCACTAGATACACGCAGCTTTCAATCCAGGTCTTTCCTTTGGATGATAGTGACCATATAAACAACATTAAATCAGTTTATTGGTGGGAGGAAATCTAAAGAAGAGGTACTGAGGCAAGTTGGTGTAACATTTTGACAGAACCAAATTATTTTTTTCTTTACAAAACCCCCCAAAAATTCCCTTTTGAGAAATTGTCCAAAACAAATGACCTTTTTTTGTAATATTGAAAGTGTAAGAGTAGGACTTTTGACTGAGAGGGTGGGGGAATGGAAAAAAAAAATTACAATATATGATGAAAACCTTCCCACTTGTGGATCTATAAATACACAGGCTATAAATTGTTATTATAATTTGTTAAGAGCCAATAATAAATCAGCTCAAATAAGACAAATGTTGAAATCCTAAATTTATAAAGAAAAAATATATAAATAGATAAATATTTTAAAATTTCAAATCAAAAATTACAAAAAAATATTACAAAACAAAAACACACACACAAAAAATTCACGCTGGACGAAGTTGGATAATAGACACAAAAATGTCAGGACCAACTCACAGCACCAGAACCAACATAACTAACATTTAATACACTAAAGCAGTTAAAAGAACATACTTGAGGAAACACTGCTAAGAATTAAAATAAGATAAAATATGAACAGATGTAGCTTAGATGTTTATGGTTTTTAACACTGAGCCTTGCTAATGTTAGATTTCCAATAAATATAGTACGCTAATATCTAATACAACAACACGGCAAACAATGGAATATTTGGGGAACATTCTGCAAACATGAAATGACTGTTCGGAAATGTTTGCTACCCTTTTTCAATTTCACTTTCAAATCGTCATTTGTCTTCTTAACTTCTCAACATCTGCTTTAGGAAAAAATATGGTTCCACTCACTTCAAGGTTCTTGATTGTTCCCCAAATGTTCACTGAATGTTCCCTGAACCTACAGTCTTAGACTTATGGTCCCCTCACCCCATCCAGTTTCAAGAACCTATGGGACCTGTCTACTGTATGTTCCTGAACATTCCCTGAAGGTCCTCTAATGGTTTTAAAACATAATTTTTGAGTGTTTTGTGAAATTTCTGAAAAGTGTCACCTTAAGGCAACCTTTGAAGGTTCCACAATAGACATTCAAGGGAACATTCCCACAAGATTCCTTGAAAGTTTCAGAAATGGACCTTCAAATAACCTTCAGGTAACCTTCAGGGGATGTTATTTAAATAGCGAGCAGTATCGGTTTGCTACAAGCTACCCAGCTGGCTTGAATTCCTGACTACTGTTGGTGATTTTCCAGTATTTTTATATCAAGAATTCAAATTCAGTGATGATAAAGTTGTAGTAAAGTTAAAGTTATATCCATCAACTGTAAATTAATTGATACAAATCAAACTGTTGAAAAATATCTTGGGAGGTGTCTTACCCTGGTGTACCTTACTGTCTGTTCCTAACCAAACCAAGTGATTTAGTCAAAGCAAATCATTTTGAAAAACCCATTTTAGTAATATTTCATTGTAGAAAAACAATTTATTCCACAGACGAAGGCAGAGTTTCAGAGGACTGATCTGTAGTGTGATGGGATGCAGACAGAAATCTGACTTTGATTTGATTTCGTTTCACAACTGCAGTCATCAGCGCTGTAGGCTGTGAGTGGTTTCGCGTGTAAATGGAAAACTGTGTTCAATAGTTTAGCACACTGACGACGGGAACTTTGCATTTGATCCATTCAGATTCTGATCTGTGTGCAGCTCCACTGCAGTTGGTCGGAAGTAGAGTCCCCGCATAAGCATACAGAGCAGTTCAGTGACATAAAGCATACATTAAACTGGTATTTTTCAACCCCTGCGCCGAGTTCGGCGTGTGTGAGAAGTGTAGCGTGCCAGCACAACGTGTTGGCATCGTGCTGTGGGTGGAAAATACAGAGCTGCACTTTCAGACGCTTCGTGAAACAGGACACTAACTGGAGTCTATTTTTGGTGAGTAATAAAACCACCAGGAGATACACAAACACTTGAGAGAGAGAGAGAACACCTCAGCACCTATAGTCACAACACCTTGTGGCAGATTTCATAACAGCTTTAGGCATGGGGCAAGTCAACTGAGTTTCAAAAACTGAATTTTAACAAAGCACCAACCAACTAAAATTGTTGTGCTACATAGAAAAGCCGTCCCACCCAAAGAGTGTATGTGCTGACCAGCTCATGTCTTGTAAATCCGGCCCATGAAGACCCTGGAGGTTTGCAGTTATGTTTGGGGATCAGCCAGACGACGGCCATGTAGAGTTCTTTGACCTGCCTTGTTATCACAGCAAGCTCTTATGCTGACTTCACTGTCACCTGAGAATCAAGGCATAATAATAAAGTTAAAAGAGTCAGAAAGTGGAAACCCTTAAAACCCTATGTTTCAAAGCCCATTAAAGGACAGCATACAGAGTTAATCAATCCTCTGCTGGTACGCTAAAGGAATAAAAATTAAAATGTTTTGAGTAAGTGAGGCAGAAATAGTCACAGGGTCATTCCGCCTCATTTCACCAAATGCCCGTGACATTCTTCAATTTGATTTTTTTTTGGTTAAAAGTGGTTAATATTGATTGAGTTGACCACGTGTAAAATCCAGATCCAGAGGTAGCGGCGTCACATCGATATTTGCGTCAGTTTCTGTGAAAGCAGTTTTTGAAGTGCCGTAACTTAAGAAGAAATGTAGCTAGAGTCTTGAGGCTCATTGATATGTGCATACACTGCTTTGATAGAACAAGACAAACCAGTTATAAATCGTCATGACCGCACCCTCTGTGGGATTTTTTTAAACTCAAAAAGTAGTCTGAACCCAGAGTTTACACGTTTTACTGAATAACATACATATGAAAAAAAAACAAAGGTGAGTTCAGGTGGAATGACCTTATAGTGACACAGTCTGTCTGACTTCAAAATCCAATCCAGTTGTGTTGTAATTCTGCAGAGGTCCAGTGAGAAAAGCCTGTGAGACAAAGAACAGCTAATCCAGAGGACAGGTGGAATGGCATTAGAGATCCATCTATGCAGGGAATTGATCCCCTGAGGCCGATCTGACACCAAAGAGGCCCGAGGCTTGCAGAAAGATATTTTATTTATTTTATGCATTTATTGGAGACAGAAGCGTCACTAAAAGTCTGATTTGATGTCCTGAAATTCATTGAACACCTTCTGCTCACTGTCCACAATTCAGCTACTTTGAATTGCTGACATGTTTTTAAAAATGATTCAGTGATTGCTTAAAAGTGTCACATTTAGTTTTTTAAAATCAAAATCAGGCGATAATGGATGCCAACATGCATCTCATTCAAATCAGGCAATAATTAAAAATAAAACTAGGGAGGTTTGTGCAACATGTGGTGCAGCTTCATGAATAAACAAACCGTGTGTGTGTTGCCTTTGCTTTCCACGTATCAGGCGAGCCATAAACTCCAGTTCTGATGAGATCACTGCTAAACCCGTCTGAGCCTTCACATTATCACCGAGACCCTGACAGACGACCACCAGCAAAAGGTACAATTACTGGTTATTTAAGCACTAATAGGTGTGCGGTAACAGTTTGAGTACTACTCAGTCTGTTGTCACTCATGAGGCCTTGTGTTTTCCTTGCATTAAATAACCACAAGGACACATGCGATGATCGTGTTTATTCGCTTGACCAAGCTGTGCAAAGACAAATACAGTTCATAAGCAATCAGTGAAGAATTTTAGTGATAACTGAGGGCGATGAAATCATTTTTGCTTCAGCCAGAGATCCCATATATATGGTTATCTTGGTTTTGATTTAGGAAACCACTAATTAATGACAAGAAGATGGTAAATGTATGACATATACTTAATGCATCTTTCCAAAGTTATTGCTGGCAGATGCATGAACCAAACAAAGAAGGGTTAATATAATGATTCTGTATGTTTCATTTCTCCTTCCTGGTCTTGTACATAACATTAACATTCCTTATTAGCCCATAGTGGGGGGAAAAGTAACATCCAATATTTGCAGGAGGCTGATAGGACTGTTTAACAACACCAATGACTCAACAAATGCTGTGTCAGATTCTGAGATTTCTGGCCTCCAAAGTCACTAAACCCTCAAGTTACATCAGTTCACACAAATGAAAAAGCTGTTAGTACTGTATGATTTCAAAGCCTTATAATTATGGTTAGTGGCTGTGACTTTTGAAGGCTGCAATTTCACATCATACTCTTAAATAGAGATATTACATTAGTGGTTAGCCGTTTAAATATTATTTTTAGTTTTGTTATATTTATTCCGAGCAGAATCATTGATCCATTCTGGCAACAAAGCTTCGCTGTGGATGCTGGTGTAAACATTGTGAGTTTCTTTTTATGATTTCTCTTGCTAGAGGAGTGTTTCACTTACTAGACTAAGAAATTCAGAAGGTAAAAGCTCATCATTTGGTGCATATATGATATACATAAGATGTAAATAATTTCAGAACAAAAAACACATTTTTACAATAAATGATAATTATTTGAATTTGCTTCCTTGTGGTCATATCTTTACAGCAGCAGCAGAATGGGATGACATTATTATTATTACTATTGTTATTATTACAGCAAGCAGACCTGTAGTGTGGTTTATTACTATGTACTTTCTACATCTCAACCTCCTCCTGACTCTTGCCCCCAGCAGATGCAGCTCTGAGACGACCCACAGCTCCCAACAGGGCGAAGGTCTCATTCTGGGCAAAGCTGATGCTGCCGTTGCCAT